GGGGGTGGCGTAGGCTTCCTACAGTAATCCCTTAGAAACTTTTTTTTTGTTTCTATCTTTAGACAGTGCCAGCTATCAGCTGTGGGTGTGTTAAAATGCATGAGACAAGGATGGAGGATTAGTTAACACGTACATGGGTGTTTTTTTTTAAATAGTTTTAGGAAAAATCACAATCACACAATCACTGTTTTTTATAAAACAAATCTCTATCTGCATGAAAATACAAAAACACTCTACTGCCAAGAGCTTGCCAAACTAACAGACGGTGATATAGCCCTAACCCCAAAGACTTGTTGGCGAATAAGAAGCACTGAAACTGTGAGTTTTCTCTCTAAACATCATCACTGACAAACAGTGTTCATAAAAAGTTTCCCATGCAAGTTTTCTAAAGGATTAGTTTTTCAACTTAAACTTAAAAGCTGTGTCTGCACGTGGACACGAGGCCGAGAAGCCTAGAAAGGCCAAAAATACCCATGTACGTGTGATTTGTTATACACACACACAAGACATGTGTCTTTGTGTGTATAACAAACAGTCTTTCTGTACGTTTATGCTTACAGCAATGGCTTACAAGCTGGAGGTCTGGACCTCCCCCAGAGGGCCAAAAGATAAATGTGAGAGGCTAAACGCTACAGGCTGGGAAAGAAAAGCTGTGGAGGAGGAAACATGTCTCATCATTGTATCTATGCTGAAAGGACTGGGCAAGTCATCTCAAACTGTAACGGAAATATTACAAAAATGAAAAACAGGGAATGAAAAAGAGAGTTTCAAGTATTAGAAATATTACTGTATATTGTCATATTTCTGTCCAATACGGCATCATCTGCCTGAAGACACAGAGGCAGCATGTTATAGCATGTTTTTAAGAGTGGGATTTAATTCCAAATACCTTTACAAATTATCAAAAGGCATGATTTTAGCCTCAAACTAGTCACATGAATCAGAAAGAAAGCAAAACAGTTGCCATGATTTTAAAAAGTAGCGCTTTATTTTTTAAGCTGTAAATTTTACATCCAGTGACTCTGTCCAGCATTTCTGATTTCTCCTTTACTCAAAACATACAACTTTGAAAAAGAAGCAAAGACATCTCACTTTGTTCTCAGCACTTCCAAGTGTTGCAAAAAAACAACTGATAAGACTAAATAGACCATGAAGAACCTGCCTGGTTAACAAAAACGCGAAAAAAATTAAATTAAATTTAAATTTAATTTAATTTAATTGTTTTGGGAAATCTGACAAACATTAATTGTGCCACTAGGATTGTTTAAATACAAATTGATACACTAAGCAGTATACAGTGTGGAGTTTCAGTTCCATTCTTGATGTTTGGGGTTGATTATCAGCAAAATTTGCAATACTTGAGAACTGAATCTGACCTGAACTCGATTCTGAGATTAAGAAATAACTAAGATGTGAGACTTTTCAGAAAAATCACTCACTGTCTATGTAATTACTACTTGAAAGAATTCTTCATTGTGCTTAAATATGTATTAGTAGAGGCTCCATAATGTAGGGGTTAAAGCATTTGCCTACAAAGCAGAAGATCACACGTTTAGGACTAGGAGAAGACATAAATCCCTGGGAGGAAGGGCATCTGGAAGGACATCAAAATCTGTGCCAAATCAAATATGTGGATCCATCCACTGTGGCAACCCCCTGCAAATAAGTGAGCAGCTGAAAGAAGCTGAGATAAGAGTTCATATGAATAAATAAGACACTAATTAACAAACATTTGCAACGCCGCTGGTTGTGTTGTGGCATATGCTGTGGATTATACAGGTTTTCCTACATACTGATTTGTTTTTTGAAATAGAGTGTTAACAGTAGTTTTAAAGCAAAATTATTAAAAAATAAATAAATAAATACATCCAGTTGATATGTATTCAGAACACATTTCTCTTTTTCAAAACTTTACGGGGCCTTATTAAAATGTAGGACAACAAAGGTTGTTGTTTCAGCATCGAAATGAAAAATTAAGAGCCTGTTCTAAATGTGACTGACTTAAATCAGCCTGTGTCTTTGATAAATACCATAGATAACAAGAATTCACTGTTTGCTTACACATTATCTATGCGTGCATTGCAAATAATTGTGTTGCTCATTAATAGCTCTTGATTAGGTTCAGTCCATTATCAGGATCGGAGCCTCTGCAGTTTTAAAATGTAATCATTTCATCATATATATAAGTAAGTGGCATAAAATCCAATTATGGATCAAATTTTATACATTTTCTGGTGACGTCATTTGCATAACAATACACCAACGGTGAAGGCAGTGTAAAGAATAAAGAATGTTGTTAGTGACCATCACTAATGAGCCTCGTTCTTTTGCCCAGAGTGTGATGTCGTTCTTGTTAATGAGTCATTGACTGACTGTAAATGTGCCCCCCTCTGTGGTGTCAGCTTTACAACCTTGTGAGGACAATTTACAGCCCAAGGTGATCTGAGTCTTAGCTGCAGGATATACAAAGTGTGACTAGATAATGTGACTCAGCTCTTGTAAGTAAAACTAGCTATAGTGTCAATTTTTAATAGCCAGTTGTAGAGGATGTTAATGTGGCTCACATGAGTATCCCCTGAAGAACAATGGTACATGAACATGGAAAAGAGGCTCTGAAAGAGCTTCTGTTCTGGAAAGAAGAATTTGACAGTCACAGAGAGACAATAAGATTGATAACCTCACCTGACCTAATGGTTATACTCGGCTTTATTTACATACACCTGTAAAAGTGATTTAAGTCATTCAAACTAGTCTGCTTTATTTTATATTTCAGAGTTTATTGAATTAAAATGTGTAAATCTGCAAATACTGAGAGGCATTTCTGTTGATTTTCAGAACATACACAAAATATATACATCATATATGATCTCTATGACAGTGCTGGGTGAAAACCTTTATATTAGATTACAATAATCTGCATTCAGTGAGTGCATAGTTAATAAGAATACTGGTTATGCATTATAAGGCCGATCACGGGAATGTCCATAGTGTACAGAAAATACCAATGATTTTAAATAATAAAATATACATCTGGAACATTGCAAACCTGCACACATGAATGACTATCACACTTTTATTTGGAATCAGTTTCAACAGATGGGACGAAGTAATATCTATACTCTATAAGGCAGTCTCAACAACTAATTTTTTATAACCTTTCGCTGTAATTGAAACTCTTGAGTGCAGTGCGCAAACTGAGGAAGTTTTCACATAGGCAGAGGAAAATGCCAGGGGTAGCTTAGAGTTCATCTACAGCCCGTGGCCTCCTCAGGTCTGTTAATAAGCATAGACTTTTAAAGTTTATGCACAACAAAATGCATAATTTCTTTTGGGCTTATGATTCGCCTGTTCTTGTCAATTAAAAAGCTGAAGACAACTAAGGATGACATAGACTTTATTCTTTGTGCTGTGTTAAACAGGGAGCACACGCCAAGCATCCACATGGGTTAACAAAGTGGATAGAGCAGAGTAAGCACCCCGGGCAAGATTCAGTAAAAGAGGTGCCCTTCCAAAACAAAGGCTCTAACTGTTTGCACCACATCCTGACATCAAGTGATACACCATAAAGTAATAAATACAGATTTTACATAAAACAACACACATTTAAAAAGGCTCATTGTATTTGACAGAGATTCCCTGACATGCATAACTAATGAAGTTTCTTGCCTTTTAAAAGATGAGCTGGTGTGTCTGTCCTCCTATTAGCAGCCTTAGTCGTCTGGTGCAACCAAGAAGGAAACAGCTAGAGCACTCCTCAGTTTAGAGTTGTTGTTTTTTTTTTGTTTGTTTGTTTGTTTTAAATCGGACATCTAAAACAGGAAATGATGCTTGAGATGCTTGGATATCAACCTTGTGAGGTATGTTTAAAAATGAATATAGATTCAAAGATAATGTGAGAGGTTAAATTGAAATTTCTCGTCTTAAACTGACACAAATGTGTCTTTGCCATTTATGATACTGCATTATGTATCTAAATTGAATCATAAACTACAGCGTCCACATTTTGCAATCCTGAAACTGATTCGTAATTGCATCAAACGTAAGCGAGCACAGGACGGGAAGGTTTAAATATAAACTTGGAAAGGCGAGGGGGATTGGAGCAGCTCTGCTCAATTTAAAATGTTACAGCCAGACAGACACTGCCTCTGAAGTTTGTTTATTTGCCTGCAGAAGCTTTTCTGGATCATTAATGCTGTGTGGGGATTAATGATCTACAGAAATCAAATTTATCCTTAAGCGGCGAGTGCAGAGATAGGAGCGCGTGCAATATTTGTTCCTTAAAATATGTGGACTGTTACTGAGGAGCCGCAGAAAGTAGTGGAGTTGAAGAAAAATATGTGGAAACTGTTTACTCCTGAGACTTTGAGATAACAACTCTTGACAGCGTCTCAAAAGAAAAATGCATAATGCATTGTAGGATTTGAAGTCTCTGTCAAGTTGATTTTAATATTATATTCTGTACTGTAAAATACAAAGAACAGACAAGACTTTGAGCTATATTTAGAGTTGTTTTTAATAAAAGACAACTTTGAAACAGCACTTATAAAAAGCAGCACTCATTTTGAAATGAGCTTCCATCTTTTGGTGCTATTTCATTGCTACTGTGGCCAAGCTGCATATTTGCATAACTTCTCTTTCAGTAGTTGGAGCAGTTCTGTGGAGCCTCCTGCAACCATCAACACACCCATTAATCTTTAGATCAGATATCCTACCTCTCACATACATATTCATTTTTCTTGGCATTTTCCTCACTCATCTTTCCACTCATAGGTTCAGACTCACCTGGAGAACCCAACCAAGTACCACATCCAACGGTCCCAGCAGCAGCAGGTGAAGAGGTACCTGGGAAAGCTTGGTTCTCAGGCGTTGAGCTTGCCCTGCCCCAACCAGTCCTCTGACCACGGGGGCATGCCGCCAGGGCCGGGCAACAGTGCCCCTAACAGCCCTATGGCCTTATTGACCCTCAACTCTAACTGCGAGAAAGAGGTGAGGTCTCCATAGTTGTTTAGGCTGTTTTTTTATTCAACCCTCTCAAGGCAGGCGTTGCCGATTTGCAACAGTTAAAAACTAACAACCTGATTACCCCACATACATATTTTATGAGGTTTTTTTTACTCAGAAGTACCACTGCAGGACTTGGTTGTGCATTAGCAACAAAAAGTTTCATTTGAGCCTGAGAGGGTTAATGATGCTTGGACATTAATTGATCAGTAATGCTGGACTTATTTGTACTTTGTCTGGTTTTAGATGGACGATGTAATTGATGACATTATTAGTCTGGAGTCCAGTTACAGCGATGACATCCTCGGTCTAATGGACCCAGGACTTCAGATGGCAAACACGGTATGTATGCTCATGATTTATCCATACCAGCCAGTTTACAACATGACTGCATTTCATTTGATGTGTCTTGGGGTAAAACAGAAGCAAATTCCATGATGTCAGATTTCAACCTTGATGTAATACTTTGGCCTTGTAATTTATCTCTTCTGTGCTGCGCTTCATATGTAACTGTCATTTGTTAACACAATAATATGTATAATATTACGTCTTTTTCTCTCTGTTTTAAATCTCAATTCTTTTAATTCTCAATTCCCCAGATCCCTGTGCCTGCTAACCTCATTGACATGTATGGCAATCAGGGTATGCCCCAGCAAGGTCTGCCCATCAGCAACTCCTGCCCTGCCAACCTGCCAAACATCAAAAGGGAATACTCTGGTAAGCATGAAAATTACTCAGAGCTATAGAAATAAAAATAAATAAAGTTCTTACAGATGTTTAACTTGTGCCATTTAACAATATCTGTTCAGCTTCTGTATCGCACAGGCAACAGTAATTCTGTAACAACATATGATAATGTAACGTTCTACTCTCCAGGCCTTTGCGCAGCTCATTATATAGCATTTTGTATCCAGTCCAGCTTTTGTAATCCTCCTCTGTGTGGCGATGTTGACTTTACATGATTATGTCTTCTATTGTCTTGTATTGCATTTCAATTCTGTACATTGTGATAATGAAAACAACATTATTACTCATGTAGTTTCACAATCCCCGGCCATCATGCATATGCTGGATAAGTCAGGATCCTGTGGCAAATTTGACACCTATCAAAGGCCTGAAGGGTTCCCTGTGGGTACGTCTGAGTATTTAGCTTTAAAATGTGGATGCTGCACATTTTGTATACGTGCTTTGTCGGGTTAGTCGATCAACCAAAATGCGTTTTGTTCAGAAGCAGAGGTAAGAGCCCTGGCAAAGGAGAGGCAGAAGAAGGACAACCACAATTTGAGTAAGTGAGAATATTTAAATGTGCTTTTGGTTGTCACAGGGTTAACTATTAAACTACATTTTTAAGTACATTAGCAAATTCTTGTTAATATCTATATATTTATACTTATATTCCTAGTTATACTTTCCCCTTTCTGTTTTTGTTCTGCAGTTGAGAGAAGGCGACGGTTTAACATCAATGATCGAATTAAGGAGTTGGGAACTTTAATTCCAAAATCAAATGACCCGTAAGTTACTTAATATATTCTTACATTAACTCTTCTAAAAATACATGTAATGGCAACCACAAACATCCAGCCAGTCTAATGCAAGATTAATAACTCAGTGTTCAAGATTAGTGGAGAGATTTGCTGCTTATGAAACAGCAAACGGAAATGATTTGTGTTTTAATTGCATTTTTCTAGCTGGTCATTCAGTTATATGCAGTTTGTAGTTATACAGATCTTTCGATTTAGGCAAATGTTGTAAATTTGTAAATGTAATATGAGGCTTATAATGATTACACTGTCAAATTCAGCTTTTAACCATATTCTTCTCTCATCGCTGTGCCCTTTGACCTCGCCTGTGGGTCTAAAAAGATCCCAGTTGCTTTTGTTATGTCTGTTCAGCCCTGGTTGTTTTGATTAAGTCCAGCTGGTTCCTCCACCCACATGCACAAATTCAAGATTCTCACCAGCAGATCTGGTTTAAATGAGTACACATTTATGAAAAAGTATGAAAAAGCAGGCACACATTTTCTTTCTAGCATTGCCAATTTTTATTAGTTGCCTGTAAGGTGTAAGTACCACTTCCAACTTGACCTAACTTAACCTTAACTGTACAAATGAAATCCTCAGGAGGGATGTTTTCCCATAAAGTTGACTAAAGATCATTTTTTATTCCTGCAAAACATCTGCTGCAACATTCATGTTTTTTTCAGGGAGCTCAGGGTCATCCTTATGACTGCTTGTGACTCAGGCTACCTATTGTGCATAAACGTCTTGTGCAGTAACAATTTCTGCAAAGAACTTTATGACCTCTGCAAAAGTTCTGCTCATTTTTCCTCAATCTTATTCTCTCCTCTTTCTTAATTGTTAACTGCAGAGGCGTACATTAGACTATCTACTGACATTTAAACGTTTGGATGTAAAAATAATGGTTCCTTTTTAAATATCAGAGATATGCGCTGGAACAAAGGCACTATCCTGAAGGCATCAGTGGACTACATCAGGAAACTGCAGCGGGAACAGCAGAGGGCCAAGGAGCTGGAGAATCGTCAGAAGAAGCTTGAGCATGCCAACCGGCATCTGATGTTGAGAATACAGGTAAAAGCTTTGATGAAGATGAGAAAATTCAAAAATGTGTCACGTGTAGGGATTTCAAAGGGGAGGAGAAAAACGTTTATACTAATGTTGGAAGAAATGAATACACTTTTATGAGATAGCTTAAGGGAAAACGAGGAAAGGCACAGATTCCTACTGCAAAGTTGTTAAGATCGTCATCTTGTAACAAATTGATCATAAGATGAGAGGAGCCTGAATCTGTGATCAACACTGAGCTCTTTGTAGTTAATTAGAGTTGCACATCGGTGTATTAGAGGAGGAAAAAGAAAACCTTCTGCAAGTTTTAAATGTTAAATGACTCTGTTACAGTCAGTTGGATATTTAAAAACCTTCACTTGGCAGCTTTGCTAACTATCTCCCACTCTGCTTTTCAGCAAAGAAAAGGCAATACTTTAACATTCATCCTCAAACCTCAAACTAGAAGATTAGGAGTGCTCACTAACCTAATGCCTAACCTGCACGTGTTTGTGTCGCTCTCTGGCTTACAGGAATTAGAGATGCAGGCGCGGGCTCACGGTCTGGCCATTGCATCTTCAGCGCTCTGCTCTGCTGAAATTGGGGTACGGACCATCAAGCAAGAACCTGCTCTGGAGGACTGTCACCAGGACCTGTACACACTCCATCCCCATCACCAACAACACCCCGCCTGCACTCCTGAAACACCCAGCAACCTCGAGCTAAACGAAGGCCACTCTAACTTCTCCGAGGGCCACTACGGCGTTCACAGTAAGTCGGGCTCCAAACTCAGCGACATCCTCATGGAAGACACCTTATCACCGGTGAGAGGGGGCGACCCTCTGCTCTCATCAGTCTCCCCAGACACCTCAAAGGACAGCAGTCGCAAGAGCAGTGTAAGCATGGATGAGAATGAGGGTTGTTAGCACCCCCTACTGGAACACTCCTCTCCTGCATTTTCAGCCCCTCCACCTACTGCTACAAGTCAGTGGCAAACACACTTTGAGCTGCTGGAAAGGCTTTCTTCTGTTTGTTGTCCTTTCTCCGTTTGTTTTACTCCTCCTCTCTCCCACCTGTGTTTACATGTATTGAATCTTTTTCCAAATTGTTTGTTTGTTTTCTCGTGTTATGTCTTTTCAAGCCCTTGACCCTGATTTCAAGGACTGATTTTTTTTAAGTGTTTGCTTTAATCAATACTTTGATGACAATGAGTTACAAAAAAAGAAGTTTTTATATTTAAAAAAAAATATGCATTTATCTTTGGATAGAGGCTAGATTATCCTTTTTTTCTATTGATTCCAAAGAATCTAGGGAAATTATAAATCATGGTCAGAAATGTAGATATTTTGTGGTGAGATAAGCACTGCTTTTTAAATCAATAGCAATAATAGAAGGAAAAAGATCTATTTATTACTATAGTGCTTTACACTCTGTGTGTCTTAGATTGAACTTGAATGTGCCAATGCCTTATTAAGATGTGTATACATCGTTGTCGTATTGCTATGCACGTGTTGGCTGTTAGAGTCTTTGTCAGTCTTCCAGTTGAAATTTCTTGCTTGACAAATATGAAATCATCTGTAGATTATATAAATACACACGCGTGTGTAAACAAGATGTTATGAATACATTCCCCTTAAAGCTAATTTATTACATGGAGCCATTATTAATAAATGAAAGCACATTTAAGAAATTAATAAATAAAAGCTAGAATCTCTCTTTTAAGATAATTACAATGAACTCATTACATGAGAATAATTTTAGTCTTTTATTCAGTGTTATACATTCACCACACACTCTTTAACTAGCCAGTGCCAATTACAGACACAGTATGTTACCAGTACATTCCTCATTGCCAAAACTGCCAAAATACCCCCAAATTTGTCTCAAAACTAGTAGAATAAAAATAGGCTATAAATGGTCTGACAAGAAGCTGTTGTCACTTGATAGCTCTAGATTTCTTAATTATAGAAATCTTTATTTTTTTTTTTAATCTAATAGATGTTAGTCAATTATTGTAATGGTTTTTTTTTTATCTTTAGTGATCAGACAGACATGACTGGTTAAACTTAGAGTATTCCAGTACAGACTCCATACTGTAATACTGCAGACCTGTTAATCTCAGATTTTTACAAATTTCCATTGATTTCCTAAATTATTCTTGTTGGTTTTTTTTTTTTTTTTGATATACCACATCAGTGACATTTCACATTCAGGACATTTTTTTTCATGATGTGAACATTTATATTGCCAAGGAGTATAAGGAGACTGCTTTGGGATTTTGTATGAAATGCGTGACATTGTCAAAACACTGGAATGACTTCTGATAATTGAAACCTGGTTTGTTTGTCTGTCTTTCTTTTAAATCTGAGCACAAACTAACTATTTCAAATGCATACAGAATCTTGTGAAAAGCTGTGGATTCTTGGATGGTTGTTGTATATTTCCACAGTTTGTTTTGAACAGTTCTAGCATGTTCCATAGGTATGCCTTTTTAACAACCACCTGCCATATACTACGAGCCCTGTTGCAGCACAGCCTCCATTTTGTCAAACTATGCAATGGTTAAAGTTGTGCCTGTAAAGCAGCATCATGTCTTCAAAGGGGTTTCTCTTTATGAATGAGTCTGAAATGGTGTCGAGGCAATTATCTTTTCATTTAAGTGCCTTAAACTTGTTTTGGTTTTTTTACCCTGAAGATGGAAGAGAAGGAAAAAAAATGTTTTGTTGATGTTTATATTGGTGTGTGGAGCTTCGTAGAGCTATACTACAAGTCCCTCAAACAAAAGAACCACGAGTATTGTTATTATGGAACGCCAAAGTGTTCAACATTAAATAAGGAAGTAAATTAGGAAATAAGTCATTATAAATGCAGAGTAAAATATATAAGTAATTAATAATTATACCCCGACATAATATTTGAATTAGTGTTCTGTATTATTATCATTAATTACTTAGTATGTTGATTGACTTAGAAATCTACTGACTTCTTCAACCGTTGTCTCCACTCCACTGAAGTTGGGTCATGGTAGCAGCAGTCTGAGCAGGGGATACCTGATGTCCTTTCCTCAGCAGAGCTTACCAATTTCTGCTTGGTTTCACCAAGGTGTTTCGAGGCGTAATAAGATAAATAATCCCTGGTCTGCCCAAGGGTCTTCTCTCAAATGGGTGTACACAGAAAACCTCCAAAGTGAAGCTCCCAGTAGATGTCCAATCCACCCCAACTGCTTCATCTCAACATCTCTGAGTTCCTTCCAGATATCCATGCTCATTATCCTGTCTCTAAGGCTGAGCTCAGCCAACCATACTTTTCTTGCAAATACAGATCTACAGATCTAATAAAGATCTGGTTGTTAACTACCAAAGTAACCTCTATAAGTGCAATTGGCGAGCCTTTCTTCAAGAGTGCCACCAGGTCCTTAGGTTGCTACTGCAACAGGCACCAATGACCTTTTGAGCAGAGCTAATGCCAGCCACCTTTGCAGTAGAGGCTTTGAATATGAACAAGAATGAGCTGCTGAGCCACTGATTCTTATAGTGGGGAACCTGGATGATCAGGGTAATATATACAGTGAATATATTCACACGATTTCTGTAAGGAAAATAATCAAAGATGGCTGTCATGCTAACCTTCTAGAGGTTTTTTTTTTTTCGCTACCAAAAAAACATGGCCACTAATCCCAGTCCTGCATTTACCTGAAAGTGTCGTTGTGCAGTGCTACAGCTTCACAAAGCCAGTAATGATGCTGTAGACTAATAGTGTTATTATATTTGACTTATTTATATACCTATGATTAATATTCAAATACTATATATATTTATGTAGTACTGAACACTTTGGAACTCCATATTTTTAGCTCTTCATTTAATTTTTTTCAAATGACGTTTTACACTGAAAGCAGTGTTTCTTAGGTTTCTAGGTGACAACTTTGAATGTAGGTCTCAGTAATAACTGCCAAATTGTGTGCCACATGAAGGCAATACATTTCTACAAAGACACAACCTGCAAAACAAAGCCACCTTTCTTAGTGGTGTTTAACCTCTTTTGTTATAAGCAATATATGGATCGTTACCCAAAGGTTATATGTAAAATGCAAATAAGTACACGGTTAGAGTTCAGTCTTGTATGTGGAAAGAACATTGTAGAGAATATGACTCAAGATTTACTCAACAGCAGCTCAGCTATCTTACAGTGTTGCCATCCAATGAGGATGCTAACTATGAAATCCAAGTTCTTGAACAAGCTGAGAAGTGAACCTTGAGTTAATGTGTTGGTTTGTTTGGTTTTTTTGTCATTGATGAAGCTTCAGTGGACTGTAGATTGTTTCTTATGGTGACACAGGTCCAGGGACTGATTCGAAACAGTACAACACCCACATACCTGTAACATGGATCTGTGGCTAAACGTAGAACAGATAAATTAAATAACCCTAAAATGTGACTGTAAGAAAAGATATAAACATTACACTATGTGGTGGCAGTTACTTAAAGCTGTCACTTAACTCGTTTCTCATAATGACTCTCTGAGCTGTAAATTGTTATGGCATGTTATGAATAAACCACTAATGAAAAACTATGGTATGTTAGCTCAATTTAGGCCTTGTCTTCTAATTGTCATTCCTGTGGTTCATACAAACAAAGTTCTCTGCTGATGTTGCTACTGTTCTTATTGTTACAGTTTATAAGAGATGAATGTAGCAGTAGTTACTGTACCCACTGGTTTCAGATTAGTGAGCTCAAACTTGATGGTACTCAATGTGGAAACTATCTTGTGAGAAATATTAAAAGTTTTATTTGAATGTTGGTGGAGTTTGCCTTTATTTCCCTCTCAATACTAATTATACTTATTATAATTTATTATAATATAATAAACTCACATAAACAAACATCTTTGGTTTGTGTTCAGTTTTACTCATTTACTTAATTTACAAAGATTCAGTCATTTAGAATGCTACACTTTCAATTAAAAGGGATAATGCAACACAATAAGTTTAGTTAAACACATGTATCTTTTTTATAAGATAAAGTCCTCTTCTGTATATACAAAAATTATTGCATTGCTTTTGGTATTTTCTTTTTTTTTTTATTCTGCCAACTGCTTTTTGTAGCTTTTGCATTATATTATGGTGTGTTGTAAACCATTAACTAAAGTTGAGTTGAATGACCAGACGACCTGCTGAGTTCAAAATGAGCATCAGAATGGGGAAGAGAGGCAATTTAAGTGATTTTGAACATGGCATGGTTGTTGGTGCTAGAAGACCTGGTCTGAGTATTTTAGAAAGTGATAATCTGCTGAAATTTTCTCACACAACCATGTCTGGGGTTTACAGAAAATGGTCTGAAAAAGAGAAAATGACCAGTGAAAAGCAGTAAAATTGCCTTTTTGACGCCAGAGGTCAGAGGAGAATAGCCAGACTGCTCTGAGCTGATAGGAAGGCAAAAGTAACCCAAATATAGCTTGTTACACCAGGTGCCACTGTTGTCAGCTAAAAACGGGAAACTGCAGCTACAATACAGACAGACTTACCAAAGTTACATAATAGAAAAATAGAAAAACATTCCCCTGATCTAATCTTGTGTTTAGCCGTGACACTCGGGTGGTAGGGTCACAATTTGGTGTACAAAACATAAAAGCATGGATCCACCCTTCCTTGTATCAACAGTTCAGGCTGGTGTAATGATGTGGGGGATATTTTCTTGGCACACGTTGGGTCTCTTAGTACCAACTGAGCATTGTTTAAATACTACAGTCTACCTAAGTATTGTTTCTGACCATGTCCATCCCTTTAGGATCTTTTGATGTCTGCCTCAAGTAAGATAACGCACCATGTGACCAAGCTTAAATCAGCTCAAACTGGTTTCTTGAACATGGCAATGAGTTCACTGTACTCAGTGGCCTCCACAATCACAAGATCTAGTCCTGTAACCCTCCTTTGGGGATGTGGTGGACATGCAATTGAGAAATCAGCAGCAGTTGTGTATCTATATCATGTCTATATTGTCCACATTGTCATGTAAAATTCATTTGTCTCCTGATGAAGAAAGCTCATCAGTCCATTTCTTGTGGGCTTGGCAAAGAATTCCATCACCAATCATACCATGAAAGATTTCTACAAAATAAGAAAAAAAAGACACGCTAATGAGCATCCTTTATGTAACAGAGAGAGTGTAACTTGTAATGTCAACTGATTATTGAAAGAAAAGTTTTACTATATATTATTTTACCTGCAGTTCCCAATCCTGTGGGAAGAGGCATCCTCAGAGAGCCAGCAGAGTGCTTCAGACGCTCCTTAAGGGATTTCTGCACCAGCTCCAGAGTGCAGTCCTGGTGCCACACAGGAAGCTCCAGACTCAGCATGCATTGGATAATACGATTCTTCTCATCTACTGTGAGAAGTCCCTTTTGGACGGCCACATATACCATGAAGGACATATCGATGTTGACTGCCTCTCCGTGAAGCAGTGCTGGCAATATTCTCTGTGCAAAACATGGAGGTTACACTTAATTGTGTGCAGATAATCTCCAAAAAGTAACTGCTAATAAAATAATATCTAAATACGTTTACTCTGTAACAGTAATTCACATTTAAAGTGAACCTATTATGCTTTTCTTTTTCATCACTTGGGTTGCTATATGCAAACCCTTAAATAAGGATTATTTTGAGCTGTGAGTTTTACAAAGATACTATAAAAGAGTCCAAGAGTAGAAGATATTGAGCTGGAAATTAACATAGTAGGTCCCCTTTAATGAGTGAATTCATACTCTCAAATATTGCTACAATATTGTTATAGAATATTGTTACAATAGAAAATACTACTTGACCATTTCTAACTCTGGGCTGATGAGGTGACCAAAATCCACCAGCCTGTCCAGATCATCCTCCCACAAGTTAGGAGCCAGTTCCTCAAGCATTGTTTCTATAGCGATGCGGATGATGGCTGTGGCGCTGTCTTCCTGTTCAGGCCTGGTCTTGCAAACCTGCAGCTTGGTATGCAGCAGTTTCCTGCCCTCAGTCTCCATCAACTCAAACAGGCCCCGGTGCTTCATCAGAGTCATCTAAAGTGTATCAGTAGAATAACACTTAATAGCTGGCAATAAGTGAAAGAGAAGACACACACTCTATTCTAAACTGGAATATCTAATAATAAACAATCACATGCATTGCATTGTTGTACTGTGGGAAAATGAATTTCAAAGATTCCCTCCAGACATGTTTAATAGATATAAAAGTATTTAATATAAATACCAGATAAAACTTTCTTAAACAGTAAGCTGAAATCTTCTACATCACTGAAAGTATCAGAATGTGTGAACCTGTTCACATAATTTTCTTTCTCTTTTTTTTAATCCTTTAACTCAGTTTTAAAATAAGCATGAAGAAATCTTACCCCTGCGGAGCTGCACATACCATATCTGTCTGCACAGCATTGTGTGAGCTCCTTTGAGTGAAGGAACAACAAACAAAGCACATTTTTTGTGGGTGGGGGTGTCTTTAGTTTTTTCTTTTTTCCATGCTTCACAGCACACGGTGATAGACAGACACTAGAAACTATGAGGACTTTCAGGTTTAAAAGGAGCTGGCTTTCAGTAGCATGGGCACTTAAAGTTGTATATCTTATTAGGGATATTTTAAAATGTAGCAGCTTAAATCTAGGTTTTTGTGAGTAAGTAAATGCAGTAAACACTTCTGTGGTTAAATTGTGGTTACAAGAGGGTTAGTTGCAATGAGCCAAATGTCAAAACATCCAACTATGACGCTTGAATCAGCTTTGTGTATTCTGTGTCCAGATGAGAAAATGGTAGTATGCATTATTGATGAGCAAAAAAAAAAAATTCTGAATAATATCAAAACACAAAATCAGTGGGAAAAATGAATTTAGCATTATCTCTTAAGAACAAGCACCATTTTCATTTCCAATATTGACAACAAACTTGCAGCAAGGGAAGTATCAGCTGTCTTATTGATACATTTCAGTGCTTTTTGGAATACTGTAGAAGTTGTACACAACTATTATCTTGTTTGCAAATAGTATGGATCTTGTTCTCGCCAGTTATTACTTCCTGCCCACAAAATATTAAAAGTCTGACACCAAAGAAGATCAACAACAATGGCTTGAACAATAAGATCATTCTACTGTGAGCTGCAAGCAAATTACATACATTTAGGAGTTAATGGGCTGATACATGCAAGACCATCAGGAAACTCATTCTCTTGATCAGCCATCATGCAGCGACGAGCACCTTTAACATCTCTGCCATCCCATTAGAGATCTGACGTGGTGGGAGAGTTTGGAAGAATGAGCAGTCTAAGAAGGCTGCCACTGGTGGGACATAACTTCCCAGCTTGTTTTTCCCGCCGGCAAAGTTGACTCCTGTTTTTGCCCCTACACTTGCGTCGATATAAGAAAGTAGAGTGGTCGGCACTCGAATATACGGGGTCCTTCGGCGATAGAGAGATGCCGCCAAGCCCACCACATCCAGACAAACTCCACCGCCGATGGCTACGATTGGCTCGGAGCGTCTGTCGATACCAAACTCATGAACTTCCTCCAGGATCTTGGTCACTAACTCCATACACTTGTTCTCTTCAGTGGTGGGCAGAGGGAGAATCTTGTAAACGACCCCTCTGGCTTTAAAGTACTGAGAAACCTGGGAGCCATACAGCTTATTGACATTTTCATCAATGACAACAAATCGCTTCGGTGGTTTGCAGTTACTTAAGGTGTGTTTAAGTTCTTCTTCTCCTAAGTGACCCCAGAGCAGTGTGTCATTCGTGGGATCCAGTATGTTTTTGCACTGAATAACTCTGTAGGTGAACACAACAGGGCTGACCACTGTCCAGGAAACCCCATGTTCTGACTTGTTCTCATAGCTAGAGATAATTTCACAATAAAGTTAAAAAGAAAAAAGAAAAAGAAGGGAAAAACATTTAATTGCCTCCATTCAAAACACCTGCTAGAATACTAACCTATACCTTCCATTCAATACAAATTTACACTTCTACCTCACTTTATGTGGGTAAATACTGTTATTTACTTGACTTATTTTGTTTGAAAGCTGAAGTTACATTTTGTATAAAAGCAAATGTGTAACATTACATATTAACACAATAATAACCACCATTCTGCAAATGAATGCTTTTATTTTTAAGTCATTTAAAAGTCAGAGGTTTTGACTTCTAGTTGCCCTACAAAGCAGTATATTACTTGAAGTATTATCCCAGTGACATGTGGGAATAATGCACAAAGAAGTATTTCAATGTGCAACTACAACTGCAAAATATTTACATTTTACAAAGTGCCCCAACTCCTTTAGAATTGAGATTGTGCCACAAAAACCAGTGGATTTAGATAATGCAGGACTAAAAAGTCTTTGGAAAATAGCTTTGTAAATGTTTTATGATGAAGGAAATGCATGCAAGACCTAAATAGATTAGACCTCAAACATACACCCACTGATGAGTAAGACCCAATGTAAATGTGGCTTTTTTTATGAAAAAACTCCAAGTACATTTTGTTTTGCAAATGTTTTTGTCTGTGTTAACAAGAACTGTCAATGCAGCACTTTGACAAGTCAGTATTGTTACATTTACTCTTAAAAAAAACCCTCAATAAACAACTATCAAAGCTGCTTTTTCTAGAGCTGCTTTTGTTATTGCCTATAATAATTACTCTTTAACCTACGTCATTAGCGCTAAAATCTGGTTTGACCAGCTTTAACTGTAAGTGATAACACAATCCAGCTACTCTTTCATTCTGACTAATAAGGTGCTGCATTCTGGTTGGTGTAATGAGGTGTTATAACATTGTTATAAATGAGACTCATCTACTTCAGTGTAGTCTGAATGGCAAAAGAAAAACAAAGAACTATTGCATGTGAAAACAGAAAAACCTCTTTAAAATTTTGAGCTTGTAGTGTTGAGAAAATATCATTTCAGGGCCTTAAAAGGTCTTCTTCCACCACTGCTGTACATATTTTACATGGGTGACTGTAGCTTAAAATAGAAAGGCATTTCACTGCTCCATAGAGAATGCTAATCAGCATATAGTCAAAGAGTATAAATAGTGAACATACAGCATGACCGATGAGCACGAATATCTTTTAAATCATTATTTGTTTTTAAAGATCTGAGATTTTTCAGCAAAGTTTTTTAGTTTGTAAAACAACCTGATTAAATGTATTTGCCGATTACGGTTGGCAACTTGCCTGCTCCTATTGCACGTCACTGAGATATCAATAATTTTCCATTCTATACTTACATTTTAGCATCTGATAACTTTCCCTCTGCCAGCTGGAACTGGTCACTTTGTCGAATCCATGTTCCCTTCACTTGAACAAGATTAAACTTAGTTTGTTGTGAACAACTGGAGTTGTTATTTGAAATCATGTTCCCAGAGTCCCAGGCTGCCAAGTGTCTTCAGCCTACTATGTCTTTATTCATGCTAATGGCATACAGGGCGTCAGTGTGGAGGACATTACTCAACATAGCGTAAACCCCCACCCTACACTCCTGCATGCTGGACTGAGTCTCATGTTGGCATTTGGTTACTCGACTGCGTGGGGTGAGCATGGGATCAACTGAGGGCTATTTTCTTATTTTATTAATCTAACCAACTCTATTTTGGGGTGAGAAAGCAGTTAACAACTTGATGAATGTGATGACTCTAAAGAATGTTTGTGTCCACAAGTCTGCAAGTCAAAAATTCAAGGCAAGAGAGATTTTTTTAGCATGCCTCTTACATTTACATACCCAGCTTTGTAAGTTCTCCTGTATCCTGGCAGGCACCACAGCAGTTACAGTCCATTTGTTTGAAACTGCCCCCCTCCTCTGGATGGCATGATATATTTGTGTATGGGAAAATCGTGGCTCAGACATGTACCTTTTACAGAATAATTACCTCATGGAAATGACAATGGAGACAGGCAAACGTAAATGCTCCAAAGCAACCTGTTGGAGATAAAAAAGTAAAATACAACAAAGGAAATTCAAAGAAGGTATGTAAATTGCACGGTAGGAAATTACACCCTTTGAAAGTTGTTTCTACTGCATATCTCACCACAAACCATTGCCCCAATTACAATTTTAATAATTAACAACAGTTTCAAGCTGTTTAATTACAGCAACCATTCTTCCTTTAGTGCTACATAATCACTCTAGTGTCAGGCAGGTATGAATCATCAGAAAAAAAAGACTGCTGCTGCTGAACTTGTCAGAACACGGGGAAAAGCTGGATCCACCCCTTTTCCTGCCACCCAGGGAATTACAGGAATATCAAACAGTGTCCAACTTTTCTCCAAACTGGTGCCAGATTACATATCCCACTCACCAACTTGCCCAACGTCTTTCCTTAAAGACCGCCCATCACAGGTGTGTTTCCTTTCGAGAAAGGATATAAAGAAGAGAGGAAAGGTTTTTAATGCACAAACAATACAACTGTAAAACCATTAATGGGTTTTACAACCTACTAGTGAAGTTATTCTATCAGGCAGTTTGCAATATTCAAAGCGCCTGGGAGGTGCCATTTAAAGTATATAATAGAGAACAATTGCTCAGTAGGACTCAACAAGCAACAGTTCATTTGCACTCTGTAATTTGGCTCAACTTTGCTGGGTTGAGTAGGTGATTAGGGACACTCTATATACTGTGCAGAGTCAAAACACTCCTTTTGCCACATTATTCAGTCATTCATTTAATGTCCTCACTTTATTGTTGCCATTTGTAAAAAAAAACAAAAATGCAAAGCACTGTTTCAGCAATGGCACAAGGGGCTCTATAACAAAGTTGCATGCTGTTCTTGTTAAAGGTGATTACCGGTACGTGCTGGTATTAATTCAACCAGTGGTTTAATCTGTAGTATCTTCATCTGCAGGCCCTCTAAGTTTGAGCACATCGAGTACATCATAATGCACACACACACACACACCTTGTGACAACACTCTTGATCCATCAGTAACTTCTAATCAAGAAGCAGTGCAACAAATCTGTGACGGCATACGGGACCAAACATCAGTTCAGTTACAGTATTACATCAACGGAAGGTCAACAAAAGCCACTTATCTAACCCCTTCATTTATTAAGTAAAGAAAGACAAGACTTGCATAAAATGCTCTTTTATGCAACATTTATTATCTTGCCTCAACCAGTGTTTCTAACACTACATTGGTTTTTGTAAACAACACTTGCTTATAGTATGCACTTGCATATATTTAAAACTGACATATCACAATACTACAGTTAAAAAAAGTGTCCTTACTGCTGAGAAGTTGAGCTGTCAGCATTTGAAAAAAAAAATGCACCTAGCTTTAATTTTTGCATGTGAAACAATAAATTCTTCCCAAAATAACAATCAGAAAATCAAATCAAAGACACATACATTATTCACATATATCATGAGGAATTTATTATTCATAGAGATGCATTGGTTTACAATAATGGTAAATCTATAGTATCTACTCTTACAAGCTCAGTTAGAGCAAATTTCAATGTTGATGGAAGAGGTGAAAAAGACCAACAAGTATAAAGACGCTATGTGTTCCTTTGATCATTTGATTATACCTTAAATACAAATATATCAGATCATGTTGGCAGTGAACATTTTCATTTTTAAAGCAACATTTTTTTTTATTCCTCTACAAATTTTTATATACTATGACTACTAAAATAAAATCAGGTAGTGTGGCCCCAGCATAGCATTAAGTAGCTATAAAGAGTAGGACTATCATTGTGAAGTGCTTACTTCAGCCCCTTTCAGACATGAACCATTAACCTGACGGCATTTTAACATGTCAGCTTCATCTTCGTGTGAACATCTTGGTCACTTTTCTGTTGTAGTCACCACTGCAGTCTAGAGGTTGGACTAAATAACATTCACGCATTACTTTGAACACAGTGGAAGGTTGAATTCATTCAGTCATATTAAGGTTTAAGAATGCACAATTAATCAAGATAGTAGTGGTAATGCAACTAGAAACCATTTACCAACTGTTATTAAACAACTAAAATTTAAAAAAGGAATGCACTATTAACTCCCAGACAAAAAAAACAAACAAAAAAAACGTGAGCGACATGGCGGGATTAGATGGTACTGTGCAAACAAGAGAAACATGCAAAGCCAAAGATGACTACAAGGTCTGCCCAGCAAAACTAGCATGTCATAAGTCTGCCGCAAACATGCACAGTCATTGTGGTTGGGGGTGACTGTTGAAAAGTAGTCAAATAGTTTCTAAAGAAAACAGAGTGATATTTTTGCTGAAAATGGCCCTATGCAATAAACAAGGCCATTTTTATATGCCTAGATTTTTTCCTAATGAAAAATGAGAGACACACACACACACACACACACACACACACACACACACAGTGCTTGTAATGAGTAAAGAGAACTAAACATTCCATAGGTGTGTTTGCACTTCACTTGAGCCAATAATAATACTGCCACCAACGCATATTGAATATTAGCGAATATTGCACACACACGCTCTCTCAAGTCACCGTCAGGTACTGTATGTGTGAAGCCATGAAGATGATTAACACATGAAAGTAATCCAGATATGAATGACTGATAAGCCAGCATTTTTTTTTTATCCCATGTCTGAAAGGGGCTCATCACTTTTCCCTTTCCTTTGGCTTCTCTGCTCATTATGGTCCTTTTCTGTACAGATATATATATGTATTTTTTTTTTAAAAAAAGAAGAAGATTAAGAAGAAGAATCACAGACAGACAGTTTCACAAATGTTGTTTGTGATCTCACTTAACTATACAAAAAACATTTGAGAGCTAGATTAAAAACAAAAAAATAAAGAGACGCTGATAAATACAGGAAGAAAAAAAATAACGGAAAAAGATTCCAAAGAACAGAGTGTTTGGTTACGTAGATGAAGCTGAAGTTGTTGTTTTTTTTGTTTGTTTTTTTAATACAAAGTCACACTGGCAGCCTTGCCATTGAGAAGTTGGACTTCAAAGTCAGAGGGAAGGCACACGGTCGAGATGAAGGCTGGGCCTCTCCGGGCTACCGTTGTCATCGTCTCTGTTCATCTCTGGGCTGTGGCCGTGCTCGTCTGTGCTCTCCGGAGATTCATAGGGATAATTTTCACTTATCTCCTCATCCTCCTGCTCTTCTTTAATGCTGGTTTGGTAAACACGGAGAACGAAAATGTGATCAGACTTTAAATAGTAGGTAATTCAAATGCACTGAAGAGTTCAGTGAATAGGGACACTTACAAAGCCTGTGGTGGGGACTGTGTTGCACTGCTGTCGCTTTGGTATCCAGATCCATTAGCGAGAGCTCCATTCATCTGCTCCTGGAGAACATGAGGCAAGGAATGCAATGGGATGCTGCCCATAGAAGCTGGGTTGTATAGAGAGTTGCATTCTAGACCACCACCCTGAAAAAAGAAATACTGTCAGAGGTGTATTTATAGCACTGCTTAAACACATATACTATGTTAGGATAATTCATTCATCAAACATCTTTTTGTTTGTAATACAATACACACAAACAACAAGATAATTAACATTTCTCTGTTACCTGAAGGGCAGATCCAGCTAGGCCTGTACGGTTCTGGGCGTTCTTCAGCAGAGATCTATTAGCATATAAATACAAGAGCACATTATTACATTTGAGTATGAATACTTAAATGGTCTAAAACTATATTCATACTTCTGTCCTGGAATTTTACTGAAGGCAAATGTTGTTGAATGTGTAAATTCCCTCTAATATTCTTAAAAGTGTATTTGTTTGCAGAAGCTGTGTGCATGGAGCTGACTTAAGAGGGATTCAGAAATGCAAGCTTATCTTAAACGCACATTTCTAACTGAAATAGCAACAGTAACTAAGGGTGATAGTGTTAAGTTACATTTCCCTCGATCTGAAGGAACTACGAGTACTGCCAAAATATACAATGGCGCTCCAGGTCTGTTTACTTAGCAAAGTCCACAATAGCTAAGAGTTTGAGTCATCTTTGCAAGACGATGCAATCAGAAACATGCCTCGTAACAGTTTTGATACACTACAGATTTTGGTTTATTATTATTGATTTCATGTAAAAGTACAAGTTTAGCTCTTGTGAACGGCAAAAAGCAGGCCATTTATTGTTGCTCACAAACACATGGGTCTGAGTGAAACATTGTGGAAAACAACATTTTGTTCATATTTTATTTAACACAATTTAGATGATCTCCTTTGTTGTTGTTGGGTATTTTTTTTTTAGCATTTAATCATTTAACAACTACAATTCTAACCCCCCAGTTTTTTTCCATTTTCATCATAGCACAGTCCCAAGCCTTTAAAACTCCATGACCTGTTGACAGTAAATACTCTTTACTTGTGAGGTAAAGCTACAAGGTCAAGTTCCTTGATGCCAAGCGTCTGACTTCTAGTAACATCTGAAAGTGCATGGCCGTCACGTCTAAAGTGTACATACCCGTTACCAGCAGCTTTCTGGGGCCGCCTCCTGTGAAACTCAATCTCATCTACTGTCCACACAGCTCCCTTCACGTTCTCCAAACGTACAAAGCATTTATGGAGACTGAGGTTATGTCTGACTGCATTCTGCAAAATATAAGAAAATCACACATTTAGGAACTCCACACTTCAAGTAAGGAATTAGCTTCTTTTCCCGTTTCAAATTGAAATCTTTAATGACATTTAATATACAGTATATAAATATCAACACCTTCCAAGTAGCTGCATTACGCCGGAAATATGCAAAGTTTCTTGTGAACCAGTTGTAGATTTCATTTAATGTCAGCTGATTGCGAGGTGATTCAAATATAGCCTGAAAGAGACAGAACATGTAAGAGAGGCTCCAAATAACAGAAAAGATGTAGTGATCTGCTTTACGTGGCTGAAAAAGGTTCCACATTACCTGTCTTATGAGAGAGGCGTAAGTAAATGGAGGCCTAACTTCTGTGCTCAAGTAGAACTCCTTATTATCAATTATATCTGTGTAAAGACATTAACAAGCCATATTTACACATATGCACAATAAAAGTGAAACATATAGCAAATATTTCCAATTATATCTCAGTAGAAGCATATTTCAGCACTTTTGCCCCATGAACACATTATTAATTAAAAGCTGTGACTTGTGATCTCACAGTTACCTTGGCTTACAGAGCGGCTGTATCGCCTCCTTACAGGGGTTCCAGTGAACATGCTATTGGGAGTGAGAACTGAGGGAGATTCGGAGAGTGGTGTCAAGGGTGTGGATGGGGCCGTGGCACTCTGAGAAATGCTCATAGGAGGAGGGCCTTTGGGCAATGTTGCCTGGGAGAAAGATGCATTAGACACCAGATTAACCTGAAGAAAAAAAGAACAGAAAACAAAGCAGTTAAGTCAGCAAAATGTTGGTGTAACTACAAGCAAAACACCATTTATTTTAATTGAAGGAAACAGCTGTGGCAGGTTCTTACAGGCTGTGCTGCAGGTTTGGGTTCAGAGGATTTCAGATGAGCCATCATAGCCTGCAGTCGTTCTTTGTCCTTCTTCAGCTGTGTTAAAAACGAAAGGCAAAAATAGAAGTTTATGGATGGTTAATTCTGTGTTACATGACAATGTGAAGTTTGGTGTGGAAACTACTTCTTTCCAGGCCTCCTGAGAGGTGTAAATATAAAACGCTGGTGTGAAAACACACCACAACTGCAAAAATTTTCACATACACTTTGAGAGTTAAAAAAAAAAAAAAAAAGACTCAACACAACACTAATCATCATAGTTGCATTTCATTTTTTTAAAGTTAGAGAGGGAAAGGAAAAACGAAGCAACAAAATCTAAAAGTAGTAGGTAAAAGAAAACATGTTGTACCTGCAGTTCTAGCTGCTGTACCACTTGCATCTGTACACGACATTGTGCTGTACTCTTGTCATCCAGTGTGTGTTCACTGTTTAGATGTCTGCAAACAAGAAAATTCAAAATCATGACATGCTTCAGGGAAACAATGTCCTGCACAAACAGGAGGGAGCAAAACAAAACAATGCTAAAGTATGCTTCTGTAATGCAGCAAAAAAAAGCACTCACTGCTCCTCACCAAAACATTGAATATACTATATCATTGCTCATATGATAAATATATTACTTTATCATTTATTGCAATGGCGCATCCTTGTATATCCAAGTATGTATGAATGAACACCAGTTTAGAGGAATGCTAGATTTCAACACTCACTTGAGAAATGCCTGAAAGTCCCCAAAGACCGTCTCACAGCCAGGCCATTTACACATCCCATTTCCATACAGAGGATGGCTGTTCTGTGTATTTTCATCCAGCGGACCACTGCGAAACACATAATGCAACAGAGTGAGTGCACTGAAAGCTAGATACAAATAAATGAAAAAACAACTAAGGTTTAGACAAGACTGGAAATTTCAAAAGCACCTGTCTTTCCTCTTCAGAAGAGTTTGATGACCATTGGTGGTAGATTGTTGACTGGAAGACTCTCTGGTGTCTCCACCAGCTGACAGGATGCTACCATTCTCACAGCCTAAAAGTGCACATGTACACTATAGATAAATTGTTGTACGATACAGTGGGATATTACTGCATTTTACAGAGAAAAATTTCCTCGAGATGATTAAGATCACGATAAAAAAAATCACTGTTTACTTAAAACCTAACATTCTGGCAATCACTAGCAAAAACCAACCACTGTAACTGAAAACAATCTGTTTAGGTGTTTCAGCTCTGCAGTAAATGAATCTGCAACAGGGAGTGTTAGACACATACCTGGGGGTGTAGCTGGGCTGGTAGGAAGCACAGACAGCAGGCCTTGCCTCTGAAGGTTGAGGAGGTGCTGCTGCTGCACCTGAAGGAGCTGCTGCTGGATGGCAATCTGCTGGGCTGTCAGCTGTGACAGAACATCAGTCAGTGAACTTTTTATCTGTTGCAATATTGTAATTGCCAAATGAACTCTTTCTACTGATTGTTTGCAACTGCAAACTGAAATAGAACAAATCTGAGCAAGAACAAACCCACACTTGCTGCCTTGTGCACTCAGACAAGCGTAACTTTATCTTACGATTTTCTATTAAGAGCCAACAGAAAGTACATATTGTGAGTGGCAATGGATAAATGATTTTAGGACAGACTGATGATGCCTTGCTGCTATACAAATTCATGCACACAAGCTGTGTGGCTTTTGATAGTAAATGGGACACACAAACACACTTGCTGGTACCAAAGTGTGTACTCAAGTCCACAAGGCTTTCAAGTGTAAATACTGGGAAAGAGCAACGTATACTTTCTGAAGATGTGACGTATGTAAAACGTATAATCCTGATATATTTAGAGGAGAAACAGTCTACAGCAGCCTTTAAACTAATTGGGAGTCATAAAAATCGTTCACAGCTTATAAAACATCAGATATAACCTCAATCTGCTGCTGTTACAGCCTAGCTTTAGTGCTGTTTTATACATCAGTTACAATCTACAAACACAGAGCTAGAACTTGTAAAAGTATTATTCCAGGTAAAACAATATGAGCTCTTGGTAATACCAAATACCCTAATGTTGATATCTATACACAGTGGTCTCTATAGCAAATAAAAAATAACGCTTAACAAACAAATCTTACCTCTTGACTAACAATCCCAGCATTCTTTTGCTGCAGCAGCTGTATATTAAGCTGCTCTTGCTGATTCTTGAAGACCTCTTGAATTTGTTGCTGCAGACATGTTCATACAACTGGAGTTAACCTCACAAATAAATTGTGCTCAGTGTAGAAGAGGAAAAATATTAAGCATACATTACCTGGTGTAACATGAGTGCTTTCTGTTGCTGGAGCAAGGCTTGAAGCTGTTGGGGACTGAGGACTTGTTGTTGTGATGTCTGCTGCAGCTGCTGTGGAGCCTCTGCTGGTGGGGTCATCATGGACAATGACACTGGAACCTTCATCAAAGACAAAATAGAAAGGTTAAAAGTCTATACATGGGACACAAAAAAAGAAAAACATGAGGAAATCAAGCCTGTGAAGGACATACTGCTACACTGACAGGCAAGTATAATAATACACAAAGGATGTATTTTTTCTATGGCTGTGCATACATGCTACAACAAATCCATGCAAGTTCTAACCATCTGTGCACTTACATGTAAACAAAAAAGTTTATTGTTTTTGGCCATATGTGTATTTTCCCATCCGACTTCTTCACAAGACTGTGTGCTGCTCAAACAAAGCATGTCTGTTTAGGATCACCCGATTGCTTGGCCAATCCACATATAAAGCAATTTTCTTGTATTATCTGAAGTTAATGCTTTGTAGCAGAAAACTGGCCACTAAAGGGACATACTGTCAAACCTACTGTTGTGCATGACTGCTCCTCTAATTGGTTTACTTTGTAAATAAAACTTCAAATAATAGTGGAAAAATATGACACATTCCTAAAATCCATGCTGACATTTTCACATGCATTGTCTGCAATGCAAAGATAATTCATTTTTGGTATCGTGTATGATTTTTTTTTTTTAAAAAGGGATGATAGTGCAAATGAGAGAGGCTGTATTTCACAGTTCTTAAATGAACTGGATGTCAGTTACAATGCCTAAATCAGTTTTTTTCTAATAAATCAAAATCAATTTGTCAGCAAACAACTGGAGCTACACACACACCTTGATCAAATTAAAAACAATATTTAGAGTTACTCACAGTACTAGTATTGTTTGTTATTCCCACAACCGTGGTCAGTCTCTGGGAAATGGTTTAACAATCATTTCAGCCAAAAATGTACCCAACAAAAACAACGGCAGCACTGGATGGCTTAGGGGAATTAGAACTCCATCAAAACAACAACAACAACCAGTACCACAAAAACAACAACAACATCCTGTGCTAGGCATGCAGCAATTACCACACCCTCCCCCTCACTGTCAAGCCTCACAGCTCAGGGGATGTTTACAGTAAACATAAACAGAGTAATCAAAATTGCACAGAGATATAAATAATGAATAAAAAAGCATACAGAGCCTGTTTACGAAAACAGAACTTGAGATTCGTATTTTAATTAAGGTCTGAACCACAAACAAACATTTCTCTCCAAGGCAGAGTCTGTTTTGAATCGGGTAAACAAACTGACAGTGAATTTCACAGAGGCTTTGGGCTAACAATAACAGATGACTGCCTCTTAGTTTGTCCTTTCTTATGAAACTCAATGCTGCAGAGGTGGCCATCAAAGCAATGAAAACAGGTCTATCCCATAGACAGAGCCAGTTGGCCCCTCTATTTTTCTGTGGACACCATCAACACAACAACAGCCTTTGCCTAATCCCTGTTGCCATGGTAGCCAGCAAGTCCAAACATCTTCTGTTGTTGTTATTGTTGAAAGTCATACCAGTGAGCAACTGAGTGTAAACACAGATCTGTTCCCGCAAGACTGGTCTTGTGAACTCTGAGATGACTGACAGCAAATAGAAATGCTAAAAAGTTGCTGAAAAACAAACACAGTATGCCTCCCTTTATGAGATGTATTGCTTACTAAAATGTCCTAATAGATGTGGCTCAAAAAAGGAAACTCAAATGAATTCAAGTTTGAAAAAAAAAAAAAAAAAAAGGTTTAACACATGCATAGACATACAGACACAATTTAACTAAGCACACAAATTGAAAGAAACAAGCCTTCTGTCACCACAATTTTACAGAACAATTAAAAAAAAAATTAGTTCAACAAACCTGATAATCTCCATTGAAACGTTTATCTGGGCACTGAAAAAAGAAAAATACTGCTCAGCAACAAGGCTCTGCCTCACAATCTAACACAGCCTCTCTAACCTACATGATGTGAGCGTGAACAAAACTAACAATGCAATACTGATCCCTCTGCCAAACAGGAGTTATGCTCTCCATTCCCATTCTAAATCTCAGCACCAGCTCCCCCATCCTTGTGCTCCCCTTCAGAATAAACATAAAATACTGCAGATTGCAGAAACAAAGACAAATAAAACAAGACGGTCAGGGTTTAGGTTTACGTGCTAAAAAGGCAAAACAAAGAACCTCAAATTATCATATAGCAATAAGCTGTGCACAGAGTTCGATGGCATCATCTACCTGGTATGTCCAAATAAGTGTGTGCCGCTTGGATACCAGGCTAGTTATACATAAAATCAAATCCAGAATAAATATTCACGTGTAGAGAAGAAAACACATCTGCTTCAATTACAGGACAAATTTGTAACATTGTGGACAAACATCTTGACACATCCCCAATACAACTCCATGGTTTTGTTACAGAGTAGCACATATGCACTGAAGAGAGAAAACATTTAAGCATTTCTGAACAGAATGCAACTTGCTTCAGGGCAGCAACAAACAAATGATTATCTCTTAATCAAGATTCTGAAGCATTTAGTGGTATCTCCATGTCATTTGCTTGTTAGAATAGAATAGAATAGAATAGAATAGAATAGAATAGAATAGCCCTTTATTGTCATTGTACATGTACAACGAAATTTTGGTCTAACAGTGCAATATCCAAAGATAATTATCCAGACCAACCCATTAGCTGGTGACCTATATTGGTATATTTATTGATTACATATATCTGAAAAAGTTTCTTGGGGAAAATAGTTGGAAATAGTGTAATTATCGGGTCAGTTACATATTAAAGCAGCATACTCTCAGACCTGTCTGCAGCACATGTAGCAAAGTTACAGATTAATCTGTAAATCACATTGCAAACATACAAACAAAGAAAATAAATTAAATAAATTAATGGATAATTCTGATCCATTAATATTATAGATAGATAGATAGATAGATAGATAGATAGATAGATAGATAGATAGATAGATAGATAGATAGATAGATAGATAGATAGATAGATAGATAGATATTCTGTGCTGAACAAATGCAGCTGAGAGTGACTGACCCTGGGTGCCTCTGGAGGAGGAGTTTGGCTACTCCTCAGTCGACATTCATTCTCAGTATGATTCCCGTTCTCTGTCTGATTTGTTTGAATGGTGTGGCTTGTTGGATCTGACCGAGACTCATGCATCTGGACTTCTATGACCTGTAAATGGGGGGAAAAAAAATATGAACCATTATAATACATTTAGGAGGGCAGACAAGGTGAATGCAACTGTCTGGACACCTTTGGCAAAGCTAGTACTTCACAAGATAATAAGAAGCCCATTCTTCAGGATAACTTAAGCAGTATTCAGCAGTCTTTAAAATTACTATGCTAGAGAAACTCAACTTCTACCAAAGTCAAAAAGTACTTTGTTACAGCCCTACCCTGCAATACAAACACACTCTTCTACAAGGGAGAGAGAATGACGGTAGGTCTATTTGTTGAATAACTGAGTGCTGCCATGGCTACTGTAAACACAGGGGCCCTGGGTTCGTGTTTATGTGCAAACATATCTTCCTTCTGGAACAATTTACCATTAACCAGGTGGTGCCATAAACGGCTGTGGCAGGTAGTACAATGCACAAGTAGGCTTTTATGTATACAGCTTGGGAGTGTTTGAGTCAAAAGCCAAGCAGCATAAACAAAGATAAATAAAGTAGGCAAACAACTATAAGCAGATGGAAAGCTACACAGAAAACCCGAAATGAAACAGACCACGCAGCTTCAAGGATAAAGCCATTATTTTCAGCAATACCCACAGCCACATATTCAAGTCTGTTTAATCTGTTAATCAAATCAATCAGTTAGGCACGACTGAATGTCAATGTCAACATTTTGGAAACATCTGACAGACAATCTGATAAGATTACATACACTCAGATAAAGTTGTGAACAAAATAGTAGCAACACCTTGCTTAGAAAAAAGAAAATCTTTGAAAACGTGGGGGGTTCGTAGAATAGAAAGCTATGTCTAACAGTGGTGATGTGTCATTCACTGACGAGTCAAAACTTGCTGGTAAAAAGTAGGTAATTCCTACAATTTATAACATTAAACATAACTGATTAAAACAGACAGCTGTTGATGAGACATCCACAGTTTGCTTCTGCTTTCAGGATTAGCTCTGTAGACAGAGGGCAGTGCTTCCAGTAAAACGCTTTTTTTTTTTTCTTAAACAAGGTTGGGGGTTGCTCTTAGTTTTAAAATCCAGGCCGAATATAGTGTGATTTCCTAACGTTTTGTTATGCATGCAACAAAACAGAATTTCATCCAACTGTGCTGTAGTGCCAGCATTTTTGAGATGGACTGAACAGCAAGTGCGTTCATTTTTACTGGTCTTGCCTCAAAGGCAACTTTCTAGTAATGAAAACCAATACTATTTTTTTTATGTAAGCAAACACTGCAAATGGGCTTTTCATAAAGAAATAAATCCTGTACATGAATATATTTTGACTAATTCCATGGATGAACTACTATGTCGTATCAGTAAAAGTTAGAAAACTAAAGCTGAATAGTATACTCTTTAACTGTTAACTTATGTAAGAGTGATACTGACAAAGCTATATGATACCCATTTTCTCAGAATTATATTTAGTAGACTGCTGTGAGAAATCTATAAAAGACACATGCATGTGCTTAAAAAACGAGAGAGAAAAAGACAGTGCTGAGTTTTGATTTTGTAGTGGATTTGAATCTGGGTGGAACTGGGTGGTAGTCCTTTACATATGGATCTTACTTTCTAAAGTGACTTTTCTTTTAATCTTCATGCTAAACCTGGGGTAGATTTTATAAGCATAAAAATTGAGCCTTGCTGTGGTGCAGAAACCTAGTTTCCTCTCAGACCAGTCGAATGAATTGCAATTTGCTGAAAGGTTAATGTGGATTTTTATCCATTTGTGCCAGAAAATGTTGCTAGCATCAGCTTCAGATCAACAAAAACAAACAGTACATTTTAACTTAGTATTGTTACTTAAAAAAGAATTATAAGGCGCTTAAATCTAACCCATTACAATTTACATGTACCAGCTGAACCAGTTGCTAAGTCTAGGTTTCAGTTTGCTTTCGTCTACGAGACACGACTGCCCATCTTAAGTATAAGCATTCAAAGCGATAGGCTGGTCTGTGCAAGACATACGACTGTTTTAATAATATAGTCATTCCACATTTAACAAGCTGAGGTTGTATTGTCTGAAGTTAACTCAGCGTCACGCCTAACTACATCCAGAGCGCAGGGCACAGCCGAAAATTTCAACACCCACCCAACACCTAAAATATCAGCTTAAAAAGACAAATGAACGTTATCTGAAACAGACATTATTTTGTTAATTAAAGCAATTTAATTATCAATGAGAACGGAATCGATATCCGTTAACATCACCACTGCAATCTGAGATTTCCGTTAAGGACTTGAGCCATAAGCTAATATAAAACACGCATCCGGAGAAAACGGGAGGTTAGAAAGTCTGCATGTTAACTATACACATGACCTAGCCTTATCGAATAACAATAAATAACAGGCAGAAAAACGGCCAACACTGCGGGAAGCATTTTCCTTCAAAGTAGCTGCTACAACAAAAGCTAACAGCAGTCTTGACGCTAGCTTGCAAGAAACGTTTCTGTCTCTCCTCTTCGTTTCGCTCCCCACGCTAATATAACAATACATGTAATGTTACATTTTGTGTTCATTTAATGGGTGAACGCGCTAGGGTGAATTAACGCTTACTCACAGAATTATGTACACGCGGATAGTCTTTGACTCGGGGTGGTGTCTGAAGCAGATCCCTCGGAGCAGTGCCTTCCTCGGTACCGAGCTAGCCACAAGTTGCTAACAGAGGGCGTGGCCTAGGTAAAAGTAAACAATGGTGACGTCAGGTTCACACGCGGACTGTTTGAGAGCGGCTTAAATTTTGACGCATTTTATCAGGAAACAAAATCATAGTTTCTTGTCCATAGAAGAACTAGTCTCCATTCTAAAGGACAGGTCCACGGCCTATTCATACAAATGTGAATATTTAAAATAAATTAACAAAAAATAAATAACCCACCCTTCGAATATTATCCCCAAAAAAAAAAAAAGAAAGCTTATCAACGTTTGCTTGTATGCACTCATTTTATAAAGTCTGCATAGGTGGCTTCAAATGTCAATCAACAGAAAAAAATTATACTGTATCAGCATTTAAAGGATATTTAAAAATAAATAAATAAATATAGTTTTAAACTGGATTAGTAATAATCATATTGTTTTCGTAGTATATGTGACAGGATGTGTTAATTTATGTAGTTTTTAACCATTAGCATGCACTGAGGTTACTCAGTCTAGTGCAAAAGGGCGCTATTTCCACTTTCTCTGTTGAAGGTAGGTTCGCCATATATTAATTAATACAAAATTCTGGCTCAGTACTTTTGGCAGGGCTGTTAATATGGACCTTACGGGTGATAAAACTCCGCAAGGCTTAATGATAATCGCAACAAAAACGCCAAATCTTCAGCAAAGACAACTAGAGTTAAGAGATGAAAATGGACCCTTCTATTTGCATACCCGTGCTTCTATGTGACCGCAAGAGGGAGATATTTTACCTGTGGATGGCAATGAAATCAAAACCATAAATACATTTGATTTTTGTTTCTTAAGAAACCGACAGCCAAGTTACAAATTAAAAAATAAAAATAAAAAACGAAGTAGTTTATCATTCCCCCCCATTCGCTGTACCGTAGGGTGTAGGATTAAGATAAGATAACCTTTATTAGTCCCACACGTGGGAAATTTGTTTTGTCACAGCAGGAAGTGGATATATTACTCTGCATATATTACAGTACCTTAAATGCTCAGGCAGTGATCTTTGGCAAGAAGAAGGGAAGACACTTCTAAAACATGACCTTTTCTGGGACTCCTTTCGACAGTGCTTTTCTATTATGATAGCACCTAAAATTTCAGTATATTCTTTCATATTCAGTTTAATTAAACTATAGCAGAAAAGTATCAATAAAAAGAAAGAAAAAACATGAAAGTTTGAACATTTTTATTTCTTTTAAACATCATCATACAAATCATACAAACAGAAAACTTTAACAATGTAAACTGCTGATGAACACAAGGCACCATCCAAGATCAACAATCAGTTACAAGGTCTGAGATCTGCAATGACTAGTCAGCTGTACATGTGCAAGGAAACGCTATTGTTATTCTCTTATCCTACAATATGTGCTCTTAACGTTACTATAAAAACGGAACGTTACGGGTTAAAGAAAGCAATTTTGGCAAGTGCTATATTCATCTAGCAGAGTACTGAAGCTGAGCCACATTACAAATACGTCAACATTTGATTGATAAATGACAGCAGCAGTCTTTCTGTTGGTGTCAATGGTAATTTTGTGGAAATCAAGTCAATTGTATGAGTATTGCAGTATCAGTTTAAAAAAATAAAAATAAAAAAATTTTTAAAAAAAAAGCTCTGTTGAAAAGGCGCCTTTTGTGAGACATTTTAACATGAATTTTGACAATGCTTAAACATGGCTGATTTTAAATTGCACATAGGTTTACTCATATGACACCACAGAGGCAACGAATTTTCGAGAAACTAAAACCACCTTAGTACAACAGAAATAAACTATCACTAATGAACTTTTTCCTGTAGTTTTGGCATTGCTGCTACAATAACATCTCTTCTTAAAAATATTTAAATTGGCTCCAAACAGCAACAGCTTCTTTGTGCCCTCGTGATAGATTTCTCTGTGTTGTGTATTTATTGGTCATATTTTCTGGGGGCAGTTTTATGTACTTCAGACTTAAGAGAATACATAAAAACATTGCACTTGATTAGATAGGTGACACAAAACCAAATTGTATTTGGTCTCAGTTACCACAACTCCATATGCTGTTAACTCCAGAGGGATTATGAGACGTCTTATATACACAGTACAAAGTGCTTGATATGGAGCAGAGGCTTAAATAAAAATGACAACCACAACACGGCAAATTTCCTACAGAATAGAAATTATTGCATATATTTCTCAGCATCTACTCAAGGTGTCTTGTGCACCAAGGTCACTTTATTGTAACACTAACATATTCTTTTCCCCATTCCTCTTATTCTACACAAGAAAAAAAAAAGTGCAATTTATATTCACATAGTCGCCTTACAGAATACTAATTATTCATCTTGTCCTGAACAGACAACAGTATTTTCTTACTGTAATTTACAAAAAGATAAAATTGTTGGCTAGAAAAGCTGTGTAATGTGTTGTTAATATAAAGGTTTGCTTGTGACACTTTCTTTGCTCAAATTTGCCCCAAAATTAGATGTAGTTCAAAGACCTAGCTTTTTATGTTCTTGGTAAACTACACAAAGTAAGCTAGAATACATCTACACAAATTACTGTTTTGGTTACAATTCTGTAAAATTGTGCAATATTAAAATAAAATAAAAAAATACTTAAAACATACAAATACTCCTGTAGACATATTTAAACTAAAATGGCTTTACTTTAGACTAAAACAATGATATTTTTTATCATGTATGACAATAATACTTAAAAGATGTGAAATTTCCTTGACTTTGAGGCTTTATACGTGAACTACATTGAGGTAATTAAAATGATACATGAAGCAAATCGAATGCTCCAAAATTTACCCCAGTATTATCACAACCCCTCCCCCCCCCCAAAAGAAAATTAAAACACGTTCATGAGCAAAACAAAACAAAACAAACCCACACAAAAAAAGGTTCTTGAGAGTTGCTAATGTCTTGATCTACCTCCTTCGAAAGCATGGTGCTCCTCGTGGGCTGAAATATAACAGAAGATCTTATCACATCTCATGATTTCAGTCATTAAAAATGATAATACCGCACCCAAAGAAAAGAAGAAGATACTCACGTTTATAAAACACCGCTTTAAAAGGTACTTGTGGAAGGAGCTCGTTGATCCTTCCTATGATGTTTGACTCGTTAACACAAGAAGCATTTCCATTCCAGACCTGAACGACATCTTCTCTGTCTCTTATACTAACGCTGACTCCAACTACTTCATCCTCTGTAAAAAATACAAATTAAGCATTTCTGACTCATGGTGTTTTACAGACTATAATTATATATATCTCAAGAACATTTAAAAGAATTTTACCTGCAGCACAATAATCACTGAACTGCTCTCCAATAATAGCCAAAAGCAACTCCTTCCACACAGCAGACTATAAATGAGAAGACAGCTTTATTTAATGATCATGAAAGTAGATAGTGTACAAAATAAACGCTTAAATGTGTTGTAAAACTTACAGTGCATTCTTTGGGTACTTTCATTTTCCACACACCACCTTTGGCATTGCTTTCTTCTTCCCTGTATGCAAACAAGGAAGTGCCATTACAAATGATAAAAATGACATCATGTGAACACAAATGTTGTTCTTGAGGTTCATCTCACCAGAGTGGTTTTCTTTCTCCTCTCATCAGATGATAGCTCCATCTCAGTGGCAAGCTGGAGACCCCAGGTATGTTGTTGTAAACTCTCCAAAAGTTCTACTCCAGAGCAAAGGTGAACAGAGGAAATGGGTCATTTTATTGAACCATTTACCAACACACAGAGTACAGACATTTGGCCTTGATGATATTTTGCAGTGGCCAAAAAAGAACTTCCTCATTACTCTTATCTACACACACCCACTGATAAACTGGCATTCCTATTACAAGACGCTCAGTCAAGAGCTGAGAGTACTTTGAATAAAATTATGAATTGCTTTTAAATACAAAGACATCAATCATAAACATTTTAAACACCAACCACCAACAAATGTACCTGGACAGTCTCCACAGTGTAGATTTTCTTCAAGTTTGACTCACACTCAGCTGCTGTTGTTCCTGGCAGAGATCTATCACGAAAAGAAAATCAGATTCGACCTTCTTTTCTTTTTTAAATTCAAGCTTATAAATATCTCAGATCAACTAAATAAACAGTTTTTCTGAGCTATATTAATCACATGTGTGTCCAGATCATGCCCTCTGAGCAGACAGGATGGGGTAGGGAGTTTTTTTTTTTTTTTTTTTGGGGGGGGGGGGGAATCAGATGACAAAAACGCCAGTAAACAGTAAACAACACTGACCCCGTTTGAACACTGCACCCTCTGATTTGTGCACACAGTGGACGATGGGCTTGTGTGTAACTCAGTGTTGCTTACTTAGTGTGATTACTTAGTGTCAAACTAGAAACTTTATTGAAAAGTAAAAGTAAATTTTACTTAAACAAAAGTAGTGACTCACTAAACAATAACAATCACATGAGCAGCAACAGAATAACACCTGTTAGAACGTAAGAACGTACAGTGACCTTATCCGAAATCACGCCGAGTTATTAATATTCAGCTAGCCAGTCATAATTACACCCTTTGCTTATTTTAAGATCCTTCCAAGAAGAGGAATTGTTTATGTAGGTCAGACAGGAAACAGTTGGCAGATAAGCTGCATCACCATTACCAAGAATTTTGTATGTGTATCTCGTGCAATGTTTTTTTCTGATTAAATAAAGAAAAAACAACAACAATCCGCGTTTTGCTGTTAAGATCACTTGTTATATTATCTAAGCTGCAATGCCTGACTTACACTAGAGGCCTGATAAATTCATTTCCCCTCTTTGTTCTCCATAAGAGGTCAACAACAAAGAGTTCACCCAGACAACTACAGCAACTGCTAAGACAAGCGGGAGTAGGTGAAATTAAACAGTTTCTTACCTATCGAGCCAGAATGTCCACGGAGAATGTAAAGGCAGGGTGTCATTTCCATTGTTATTGTTATTAGAAATCCCTCCCAAATTTCTGTCACTGATATGAATGTTGTGCTCCAGCAGACTCGGGCTGGATGATGAGCTTAGTTGTAATGCAGCTACTGGAACTGCCATCGTTACCACTGAAAACCAAGTGACCACGTATTAAAAACTAGCCGATGTCTTGCTTTCACTGTTGCCGTCGTCCGCGGTGTAAATATATAGGCTCCTTAGGTAAAACTAACCACGATCAGCTGCTGACTCATTGGTCGCTTCACCGGTTTGCGCCGTCACAACACAAAACGATGACGCCCCGCTGACTGCCTGCGGCATCTACAGCGCGCCAGAGCGATCGAGAAGTTTCCGTCACGTAATCCTGCACATCCAGTAAATGAAAATATTAATACCTCCGCGGCGAGAATAACAAGTATTTTAATTTTAGCAACTTATTTCTTTGCGGGGGGTAGAGCTCTGCTTTGTTGATCTTCGCGTCTTCCGCAAATGTGAATACGTAATTGCTGACATGCGCAGTCGTCACTGCCACCAGCTTTGTTGGGTTGCTACCTGCTAACGTGATACTAACCTGCAAGTATTTCTTGCCTGTGACTGGCCACAGCAATGGACATCGACGCATTGTTGGAAGCGTTTCAAGGCAATGTTTGCAGTTGTTAAATGAGTTATTATTAGCTTAATTATTTCCTTTATATTTGGTTTAATGCCCTGAGCAAAATGTCTCATGTTTGCTAACTACGTTATCTCGTAACTTAGCTTATTAACAACAACTAGCGTTTAGAAAAAGCATCTAGCGTCTCTGAATTCAGTCTCTGCATGATTTCACCATTTTAATGCTGTCTTCTGCATGCAAAAATTTCGTCTTCACACACTTTACACCTTTTTATTTCCCCACGGACGCTTAGCGATTATGTAAACAGCTAGCTTGATAACGTCACAACATGCTGCTAACAATAAAATGCTAGCTAACTAACTTGTGGGAACTTTCCATATAGTTAACTGAGAACGGTTTGGGGATTTTATGAAGTTGCACTTAACATTTGGTCTTCTTTAATAAATGTATTGTCTCTTGATGCAGCAGTAAATATTTTAATTGATGTCACTGTAATTTGGAGAAGCCTGAAACCAAACATTATCTTCTCAGGTTATTTTAAAAGTATTCAACTTTCATATTTAGTTCAGTGCAGCCGCATGCATTTGTTTTATTACCTTGGGGATCAGCGTTGTTTCCTAGCTTGTTTTAAAGTTATTAAAGTTAAACTTTCTTTTTGTTCCTCAATGTTGGCTTTTGCAGATTTTGAGAAGAAAGGGAAGAAAGACACCTGTCCCCCATTGGAGCAATTTTTGTGTCATATTGCCAAGACGGGGCAACCGATGTGAGTACCATGGGTACATGTCAAGAACGATGGCTACACCCATTTTCAAATTTTACACAACTGCACTTAACAATTTTACACTTTTCTTTTTGCCAAACAGAAATACTGACATCAGTTTTCCTGCAAATAAAATCAGCAGTGCCCTAGCAGATTTGTTTAAAGCAAACTTGCATTGTCTTACAGGATCCCATGGTCACAGTTCAAAACATACTTCATGTTTAAATTGGAAAAAGTCATGGATGATTTTCATGCTGCAACACCAGAACAGAGAGGACCACATAATCCCAATGTAGAGTTTGTCCCATTTGAAGAAATGAAGAAGAGGATCTTAAAAATAGTGGATGGATACAATGGGTGAGTTGAGATTATAATGAGCAATGGTAAACAAATCCTTAGTCACAACTTCAGTAGTGACTGAGTTTTAACCAATATTTTTTATTATTGGTATTCTTATATGCTGTCTGTTAAATCAAAACATAACCACAAAAACGTTTGAGCATGCATTTTATATAAAAAAATGTACAAGGTTTCCTCATATTTTATTCTACCCACTGTGTGCTGCACTGTGTCTAACAGGGTGGGCAATATACCCTCATAAATTATATCACAATATTTTAAGAAAATCTGCAATAATGATATTTCTGATAGGTGAAAAAATACTGAATTGCTAATTGAATCTTGCAGGCAGTGTGACTGCAGTGTGAATCTACTGAAACAAGATGCCAACAGCAGGCTTATAGTGCAATAGCAGTGACACAGTAGTATACCGAGTGTTATCCCCTGGAAATTTTAATTAAAAGAATAAAAGAAGTGTTTAACAATACCCAAGGTATCTTAACATTATAACTCTTTGGGAGGTTGCACAATATTGTGATATAAAAAATGAACAATGTTTTCTACCTGGGATGTGATCTTGCTATCATATAGAGTACAACTAGCGAGCGCTCCAGCATGCTCGATGGAGTCATTTGTTTACTTTTGGGCCTCACATCACCAACTGCTAGCGTCTCCTGCTTAGTAGCCTGGATTCAACAGTGTTTGGTGAAGCAGATCTATTGATTCCACCTTCAGTGAGAATAGTTTTTGGGCATATTTTGCAAAGTAACGTATTTAGTTGGAAGCAGCCTTTTTAGGTTCTAAAATCATTGCCTTGCTCTCAAATATCTGTATTTGAGCAATTGGTGTGTGCACTGGGAACACTTTTAACACTTTAAAACAAACTATATGAAGTGTTATGTTAATAAGCAATCTCACTAAATTATTTGCATCATAGCTTGTGATCATTTATGACTGTGGCTGACCAGATACATGCAGATTATTCTTTTTTTTTTTCTCTCTCTCTTTTTTGCTGCATGTATTAAACTCTTACTTGCTTATACTCATCATCATCTGTTCCCTGATCCTAAATATTTCTCTAACTTTACAGAATCCCATTCACCATTCAGCGTCTGTGTGAACTCCTTATGGACCCTAAGCGAAACTACACAGGAACAGACAAGTTTCTCAGGGGTTTGGAGAAGGTGAGCAATAAACCATATTATCTTAGTATTTGAACAAAAAGATAAACAATATTAGCATATCAGAATGTAAATGTACATTTCATGGCTTGAAAAAAAAGCTCATATTTTTTTCTCCTTTTCAGAATGTAATGGTGGTGAGCTGTATCTACCCCACATCAGAGTGAGTACATTGGCTGTTAAGATTCTGTTTCCTTTGCTCTTCTGTGTGCTGTATTTTTCTCAAGCTGCTTCTGTTGACAGTAATGGTCCCCTGAGATTTTATGCATTATTATTGAGTCACACTTACGGCAACCATTTAACAGCCAGTTACCTGTGCCTTTCTACCTCTTTAAAGGAAAAATGGGGCATCCAGTATAAACAGAATGAATGGGGTGATGTTTCCTGGCAACTCTTCTCTGTATACAGACAGGTGGGTGCAAAATGTCAGTGACTGATTTATACAAATTTGAAATTGCTTCGTAAACTGCTAGCAAGTGGGAACATTTTAAAGCCGTATTACATAAGGACAACCACAGTATAGTAAAGACAAAGCTATCTTGCCTGTCAGAAATAATAGTTTGTTCTTTTGGAGTAGAAATGTGAATGGGCCAGGCACACCAAAACCACTTAACAGACCAAAGCTGTCATTGCCAACATCACTTTCCACCAACGGGCTCCCTGATTGTCCAGTCAGCAAAGAACCAGAGCCAGCCACAGAGGAGCTGGAGGAGCAGTGCGTAAGGTAAGTTGTTTGGTCTGGTAATATGTCCTATCAAGAGTGTTTTATACTCTTGACACACTACTACATTACACTAATTCCTGCTTTTTCGTTTTTTGTTAGTTTTTTTATATCTCCTCTCTTGACCTCTCGTTTATAATTAGGTTTTGTCAAGACCCTGCCTTAAGAAAAAAACAAACAAAGAGCAACTCGTTGGCTGGCATTTCAGTATATAATCTGTTTAACAGATTTTACTGTGTTTGTTTCAGTGAAACCTCACTATCAGAAGGTGAGATGACGCCAAATAGTGGGATAAAGAATAAACACCCAGAAGAAGAGGATTCTGATGGTGATAAGCAAGAGGTGAAGAGACTGAAATTTGATGAAACGGAGGAGAATGAAACAACAAATGAAAAAAATGAGTCGTCTTGCCATCAAGGGCCAGAGAGCTCGCCAGAGAGCTCGCCAGAGACACCAGAGTCTTCAAAACACTCCTGTGGTCAAGAATACAAAAGTGGAACATCTTGTGACACACCTAGTGTATCGGACAATCATGGTATGTGTTCATGATCCTTATTTAGGCTATTTTATAACTTCTGACACTACAGTAATTGATAGTGTCTTCATAATAGTTGCATTCTTATAAGTCCAAATACACAGGGGTTTATACGTGTTACAAAAAAGACAACATAGATCTTTTTAGTACAGATCTCTTGGCTGTTGCCATTTCTCTGTAGTAGAACATGCAAACTGACTAAAACCTAGTTAGCCTAAAGTTAAAGCAAGATTTCTGTGCCCTTCAAACAGGCAAATGATCTGAATAGTTTTGTGAAAATCTCTCACCTTATACCTTCTTAGCTTCTGATAAAGGTGCATTGATGTGTCTTTCCATATTAAAGTATTATTGCACTAGTCTTTAAATTGACTGTTAGGGAAAATATTCTAAAACACTTCTTCAGTAAAGACTCAGAGAAGAGAAACACACAGAACTTCTTGCTAGCAAGGGCAGCCTCCAGACTGAGACTCGCCCTGAGCACTGCCCCTGGTCTTTATTTTATACTCCATTGAACGTGTGTGTGTGTGTGTGTGTGTGTCCTGCTGATTAAAGGGTCATAAAAGGTACATCCTTGGTCAGGAGAAGGGTGAGGAAGTCCAGCAGTTAAAGCACTTAGACTAAAACAAACATAACTACATTAATCCTGCCATAAAACAAGGTACGACCTCTCCCATGCTCCCAGGATGTGGGGGTGCATTCCTGGGGTGCACGCCAAGCCTGCAGCCTGCTAGAGATCACACACAATTGATTATATGCCTCTAAGTATACATGGTTGAATATTTCCTAATACAAATTACTACATGTAGTATTCTACCATATGCAAACTTATATCACTAAAAGATTATACTGACTACTAAATACAATTTCCTCTTGACATTGACATATTCAGCTGGATAGCCTACCAGTTAGTTGCTGCAGAATGTCACTTAAAACATCATGTTAAAATACCTTCTACTTTGCTTCCAGAGCCAAAA